GCCTGGCAAGCATGAGATCTTGAGTTTGATTCCCGGTAATACCCAAAACATCTCTACAAATGATCTAGGAACCTTAGAAAATTATACATTTAAGAGTATAGAGAATATCATATGCTGAAATAGCACTGATGGCTGAAAATGATGACAGAAAAGTAGCATAATTTATAGTTTCTTCTTTCCTTGCTCATCAGAAAGCCTGGTAGTATACATACAAAATCTGCATTTAAAATACGCCCATAAAGAATTGAAGCAAAAACTGTTTTATGTAGCACTTCCACCGTCCTGGTAGGAATAAACTGCCATACACATAAGGACTCTGAAATAAAAGTTGTGTGATTTTTATGATTGCACATACAGGTCAAGTACCCTTGTATTTTCATTTAAAACTGGCATTGCACACAACACAGAGGAGTAGTAAAATTCATTCCAAAAAGTTAAAATTTTAATCACCTTGTAAGGACATTAAATAGCAACCAGAGAACATAGTATCAAGGTCAAGGGGGAAAAAAAGAACATGAACAACAGGAAACAGCTTACCTAAAATGTATCTTTCAGTCTTTTAGGACCTTTAGTCACACGTTTTCCTTTTGTGTGTGTGACAACATCAGTCTACTAAGTTGCCCAAGCTAGTGATCTTCCTGCCTCAGTCTACTGGGTAGTTACTGTACCTGGTGATATAGGTTACCTGCCTTTTGACCCAGAAACCCTACATTTTTATTTTGTATGGGATCCTGCAATTAGGTGCCTGGCCTTTCTCCCAGGACTTCATGACATATCCACAAACACTAATAAAGCTGGCTTCGGAAGGCATTGTCTGGGCCTTTTCCCAACATGCTGCCTTTCATGGTGTGTCACACCCATTCTGGGGTCCAACTGGGACTGATGAATAGCATTTGCCCCTTTGGTAAACAAAGACAAATCTCCCAAACATAGTTCTAAATAAATAGACAAATGGAGGTAGAATGAAGTGGCAGGGGCTTATCCAAGGTGCCTATGTTAGGGATAAAGACATCAGCTCTTAGCCTGTGGGTCCAGGCTCATCTCATCTCCACCACAGGTGTGTGAACCTTGAACATTATTTGAAAATAGTGAAGAAGTCACTATGTATTGCATCCCTTTAACCATATCCAGATGGGACCACCACAGTGCCATAGTAACAGTTGTAGAGGGCTGGGGATTTAGCTCAGTGGCATAAGTGCCTGCCTTGCAAGCAGGCAGTTGTGAGTTCGATCCCTGGTACTGATAAAAAAAAGAAAACGACAAAAAAAAAAATAAAAACAAAAAAAACAGTTGTAGAGCAACAGGATCGGCCCTGCAAGGGATCCCAAGGCACCAGAGGAGCCCTGTGTTTTGTTCAAGGTCAACAGGAGTGGACTGATAGGCCAACAGATGATTCCTCTGTGGCTTCAGAGTAAGAATCAGTTTCTTCAGTTTTCCAGGGAGGTCAGAACATCTTTTTAATCATTGTATCAGAATCACTTGAAATTTAGAATCATGTGGAAACAAAATGCTCCCCATCTTTGAATTTCTTAGAAAAGAAGACATGCAGGCTCAGTCCAGGGACCCTATACAAGTCAGATTCCTCCCATCTAAAAGGAAATCCGCTCCACAAAGGGTCACACCTAGGGTAGTTTGTTGATTGCTGACACATCCTCCATGCAGGCCTCTCAGGCCATTGATGTGGGTTTTCAGACTAACATCTGTTAGCACATCCTAGCTGCCCCATTACTATCCTTTTGGGGCCTTTGGGAGGGTACAAGGATTCACTGGACCTAAGTTTAGTTTTTTTTTTTTTGTTTTTTTTTTTTTTTTTTGGTACCAGGGATTGAACTCATGACCACACAATTTGCAAGGCAGGTGCTTATGCTGCTGAGGTAAATCCCCAGTCCCCTAGGTTTTTAACAGAAGCCTCACAACAGCCTCTTGTTTGGAGCAAAGATACCTTGGCAACAGAGCTTAATTTGCCAGATACTTCTGGTTCATCCAAGTTCCCTCTAAGCTTCAAGCATCAGTCTCTATGCATGGCTCCTTTGTGGCAGAGGGACAGAGCACTGATAAATGTCTAGGACACCTGTCTGGAGCCCACTGGGCTGCTCAGCTGGTAGTTAAGGACCAACAGTCCGATCAGCTGCCTTACTGCAAGAATGAACCTGTATTTGCCAGTCTCCTTGCTTTTAGCAGGCACACACAGCGAAAAGAATACCTTATGGGCTAAGCTGCACTGTTCCGGCTCTAACGTTGGTCACAGCAGCTATCTATCCTTCCTTTCTGTCCAGTGATAACTATAAAGCACATTAAAATTTTTATGTTGGGCTGGGGGTTTAGCTCAGGCAAGTGCAAGGTTATGAGTTCGACCCCCAGTACTCCCCCCCACCCCCAAATTATGTTACTATTGAAAACAATCTTCATGAAAATATTTTAATGAAATGCAAAAAGGCATCTCATATAATGATAAGTGAGGTTAAAAGCACGATACCCAACTGTATATACAGGAGGACCTCAGCTTTGTAAACAGTTTATATTTATGCACAGAAAACAACACAGAAAGGAAATATAGTGGATTTCCTTAGGAATGTGGGATTAGAGGTAACTTTGTATTGACTTCTTTAAAATGTTGCTATTTTCTAAAAGAAAACACATATTATGGGCATCTGTGACTTTCATAATCCCACAAAAAAGATACTTTGCTCTCAGTGAGGACTCTTAAAATAGTACTGATTTTATGCATGGTGCCGAAGAAAACCAGTATTGAGCTTTTACTTCTTCCCAAGGTGACTCTGTAAAACCTTCCCTCTCAGCTGAATTTTCTTTGCAAGATACAGATTTTCACTCTGAAAAGACTGCTCAGCTTATAATCACTATTTTTTCTCTTATGTGAAACTTGACAACATTTGGAATCAGAGCTTGGAAGGAGGCACTGTATGTCTTTTTCCTGGTTCCCAGGGCTGAGAGCTCCCCCAAAGATTCTTGAAGTGTATGGCCTGGGAACCTGCCTGGGACTAGGCTCAGAGAAGACAGAGGCCTGAGGGTGCTGGCTTTGTGCATCCAGGTGCAATCACAAGAACATTGCCTTTGAAGCTGAATGGTTCTGGATCCTGGGGATTTTCTCTGTAAAAACTGATGATCATATTCTTTTAGATACATTTTAAAGATTTAAAAAGACAGGTTATACAGGCTGCTTAAGAATGCACACAACAGTATAAATATTAATAAGTGGTGGGTACTGGAGAAGGCAGGAGAGGGGAAAATCTGCCACTGCTACCGAGAGCTCTCTCACCACCGAAGTTTCCGAAATGAGGTAGAAGGAGCTGTCCAGACCTCTGTCCCGCCCTGACTGTGCTAACCTGACCAAGGGCACAGCTTTGGTTTCACCATGGAAATGTAACCACTTCTGAGGGGCAGGCAGTACTACTCACTGGCTGGTAGTCAAAAACGTGGGGTGAGGGGTAGTCCTAGGATGCCACAGATAATATGAATCTAAGGCTCCATTACCACTCAGGAATCACTGCATTAGTGATCCAGGGCCTCTCCCTCCACCCACAGCTGCCATCCCTTTAACCATACATTGGGCAGCAGCCAGTATAGTATGGCAGAGACTTACAGGAAATAAAGAGCATCAGGCCGTATCAGTAATGGATTGAAATAGTCCCTGTTTGCTCCAATACTACATTATCTGTTGCCATTAGTAGTAATACTACTATCGGGATCACCCTACCACAACTGGGAGGATTACTCTAATTTGTAAATTACTTAACAATTTCCAAAGTGCTTCCCTGGCCTGGGTTTCACCTGACTAAAGATGACACTGGACATGGTATTATGGGAAGGCAGAGACAGGCTGGAACTAGAAACCTCAAAGGGACAGTAGATCTGCACCTGGGCAGAGAGCAGGTATCAAGAGGGTAACTGGATGTATTTTCATTCCCCAGGCACCTGGGCCACAGACCCAGTCACCATCCCAGCCACACGGAGTCACACTGCCCATCTGCCCGGCTTGAACTACATAGCGAGTCAGACAACTTCAAGGGCTAAAAATGAAGAGAAATAGGCTTTTATTTGATTAGAGAAGCTTGATCCCACCAAAATCCTACCAAATGGAGTGGCAGAAAGACACATTCCTTTTCAGATAGAATGCCCTTCCCTCTGGCCAGCACCTCCCATCTTTTCTAAGGAAGGCTGGGAAAAATACAAAATCTTCCTTTCTTCCAGACTTTAAATTTTCAATGCTTAAGTTAAAGTGTTTTAATGCCCAGCTTTGGCCTCATTCCCAGAGTGAAGTCTGGAACGCACACCTTCTTAGCTTAGTAGAAGGCCCCCCATTTTCCTCCACCCCTAGGAGGAGATCAAGAGTGCAGCAGAGGATGAGGAACCGTGAACTAGATTCCCTTTGAGATTGCCGTCTTCACCTGGCAACAGGGAGCCCGAGCAGAGCTCAGAGCAAAGGAAGTGACATTTTGGAATCCATTTTGCTCAAGATGCTGAAAACAGCGCGGCAAACTCCCCTTTGCTACTGAAGCCAAATAACTTGGGGAAGAACCTGGCCCACAGGGCTGCAGCTGGTTGGATGGAAGGCGAGGGTCAGCTCTGGAGCCGGCGATACCTGACGAGAGCGGACAGGTGCGCGGGCTGCCCTCAGGACCCACCCACAGGGAAACGCTGGCCAGCTTTGGGTGCCGGTGCTGCGTCTGCAGATGGGACCCGAGTCCACTGGTGAGCAGCAGCAGCCATCGCCAGCTGGGTCGCCTTTTATCTGTCCAGCCATTTAAACGCAAGATCGACGATGGACACTAGGAAAGGGAAGCCAGAGGACTACGGCCTTCTCCTGAAAGTCACACTTGTCCCCAGCGCCTCCCTGCAGCCCCTTCTCTCCGGAGCTGCACGGTCACAGGAGAGAAGTGTGCACCCGGGTGCGCGCTGCAGCGGTTCGCTGGGACGAGGAGGGACAGGGTCGGGGCCGGGACCCGCGCGGGCGTGGGGGCGCGGGGTGCAGCGCGACTCACCTGCCAGGCTGTTGTAGCAGTCGATCTCGATGGCCTCCACCGTCTTGCTCTGCTCCTCCGAGAGGTGGCCGGGCTTGGGGGCCCCGGCCGGGGAGGCTGCGCGCGAGTCCCTCTCCCGTTCCCCGGGGGGCGGCAGCAGCCCCTTCAGTTCTAGCAGCGCCCGGTGGTATTTGCCGATGGCTTCGCGGAATTTCTTGTCCTTGTAGCACTGCGCCCCTTGGCTCTTGAACTCGTGCGCGCGCCGGATAAGCTCGGCAGGCTCGGCCGCCGCCCCAGCCTGGCCCCGCGCCGGGACCCCTCCGCTGCCGCCCGGGGCGCACAGAGGCGGCGCCGGCCGCGGGCCCTCGCCGGCCGCGGGCGGGCTGGGGTTCCCCTTGGCTCCGGCCGCCGAGCCCTTCCTCTCCATTCGGCCGCCGCCCGGCGCCCACGAGCGCCGCGATCTCAGGCGCCGGCGCGCCCTCGCGGTTTAAAAGCGGCGGGCGCTGGCCCCGCGCGTCGCAGGCTTCGCCGCGGCCGTGACACCCCACGGCGGCGAGTCGCCCCGCACTCCCATTCTCCTCGCCAGCTGCCGGAGGCTGCTCGGTCGTCCTCCTCCACCGATCGCCGCCCTCCCCCGCTCCCGCGCCGCCCGCCCTTGTCCCCGCCCTCCTCCCCTCCCGCAACCTGGCCCTCGCGCACTCCCGGCTTATCGGTTTGGGGGGCACCGCGGGCCCGAAGGTGATTGTCGCTGACCCGGAAGGAGCTTGGTGTGCTCGAAGGAGGGGAGGATTAATGACAAAGACAGCCCCGCTCTTTCCCATTCAATCCAGCTCTTGGAGGCGCGCCTAGTCTGAAAGAGACGAGTGGGGGAAGGGTGTGTGTGTGTGCGTGTGTGTGTGTGTGTGTGTGTGTGTGTGTGTGTGTGTGTGTGTGTGTTCAGATGGGGGATCGGCGGTATAGAAACGCATGCACACTCACTTTCCATAGATTTCTCAAAAACTAAAGAGGTTCAGCAAGTAGCTAGGGAAGAACGCATAAGTCATAGCTTTACCCCCACCTCCCACCCCGCAAGGCATGAATATTTTAAGGGGCAAGTCCTCTCTTTTTTGTGGATCCAGGTTATTGCTGAGGTGTGTTTCCAGGGCGCCCAGAACCCGGTGCACGCGTCAGCCTGTGAGGCGTTGTATTCCAGAAGCTCTGTGCGCGCAGCTGTGCAGATGAATCACAGACCTCAGAGATGGAAACACCTGTTACTGTGGGTCACCGGGCTTGCTGGGCATGCGGTTCCAGTTTCCATTAGTGGACAGTTCCGTGCCCTTCCTCAGGCAGCTCTATCCATTCCATTCTTCTTGTTAGCTCTGCGTGTCAGCTGTCTGCTGGGGATTTCCTAAAGCCACAGGCAAACAATGACAGGCAAGTTACTCCCCTACCCAAACAACTCCCAGTCCTATGGGAGACACACTTGCCAACAGCAGAGTCACTAGACCATTTGAAATTGGAAAGTGTCACTGGGGAAGCAGGGACAGTACTGCCAGGAAGGGCAGAGTGGTCAGGGGGTGACTATAATGAGTAGTGGTGGCTTAGAAGGTTTGGGGAGCAGGTACTATTTGAAGATCTTGAACGATAGGTAGGATTTGGGCATGATGAAATGGTGTGACCTATCAGCCAGAGTGAGGAAGTCTAACAAGTTGTAATATTTAAAATCTAAGACATGTTTAGGACACCGTGGTTAGATTTTGTGGCCTAAGCAGAAGTCGTTAGCATGAATTGTGAAAGATTTTTGATGAGTTTGAATTTGATTTTGTACACAGTAAAGATGGCAGACATTTTTAGTGCCCTCCTTTCCTTTATGATGCTAAGAAACAAAATACATACATACATAAATATATATATATATATATTCTAAAGCAGTAGTCATTGTACAGATAGTCTAGATCTATCTGTAGCAACAGCATCATATGGGAAACTGTTAGAAATACAAGTTCTAGGCTTTCACTCCACACCTACCAAATCAGAAACTCCAGAGATTGGGTCCAGCAAACCATCCTTTAGAAGGCCTCCTATGGGTCTGATGCACTGTTCTAAAAACTTGATGTTCTTGCTCGCTTTGGCCACACAAATACTAAAAACTTGTTGTTCATAGTACAGGTCTTGGACCAACAGCATCAGCGTCACTCAGGAACCTGTTAGAAGCATACAATCTGCAGAATCCCAGACCTGTTGACTGATGTAGGAGCTTCACCCAAAGAAGATTGCCAGGTGATTCATATACCTATTAAAGTGGAAGATACTGCATGGCTCTAGAAGTTTTGGAAACACACAGAAAAGAATAAAGAAGAAACCCCTAACCCTACACCACCACCTAGATACATTCTTTATTAATTTTTAATGTAATAATTACCAATTGTTTTCTATGCATCTATATTTGTAGAAAGTACCCTTTTAACAAACATGAGTGCCATGGAAAATACTATACACAATTTGTTTCCTTTTTTCAACTATGTTACATATACTTGAATATTTTTTAAAGACTCTTTTTTTCTTTTCCTTATTTATTTTTTTATTCCAGTGCTGAGGATTGAATTTAGGGCCTCAAGCTAGGCAAGCACCCTGAGCTACATCTCTAGACCCTGAAACTAGATCCTTAGTGGTTGCATAATATTCCATTTTATGTCTGTACCATAGAATATATAGCCAAGTATTTTATATAGTCAGAAAGATTTTACTGTTATAGATAACACTGAGATAACAAGTAATAGATATCTCATCTATCAGGTTTACTTTGTGCCAGGCACTAGATTAAGCACTTTACATATAATTGTTTTTTTTTTTATTGGTACCAGGGATTAAACTCATGACCGCCTGCTTGTAAGGCAGGTGCTTATGCCGCTGAGCTAAATCCCCAGCCCTTACATACAATTGTTGATTTAACTATCAAAGTAGTGATACAAGTGTTATTATTATCATTCCCATTTTAAACACCATATCACAGAGACTTGTCCAAGATCACACTGCTAGTAAGCAGCAAATTTGGGATTTAAACCCAAATAGTCTGGCTCCAGAACCTATGTGGGAGCTGTCTGTATAGATACGTTCTCCCCTGATTTATTTCTCCTGATGAGAAGTGAGGTGTTTCCCACACCCCTCTCTGCAGTTCTGGATATCAAGAGACTCATGCAAGCTAGGCAAATGTGTACCACTCCCAGCCAAGTTGTGTCAGTTCTGAAGAGCATCTTGAGTGTCAGGCAAGTGGTCTATCACGGAGCTACACACTCACTCCAAGAAGGTCTGGAACCATACTGCTCTTTAGAAGCAGATTTTTTTTTTTTTTTTTTTTTTTTTTTTTTGCGGTCCTGGGGATTGAACTCATGACCTCGTGCTTGTCAAGCAGGCACTTATGCCACTGAGCTAAATCCCCAGCCCCATATTGCTCTTTAGAAAGGTATTGTACTCCTGCCAATAACACACAGCTTCCAAGTATCTTTACCAACACCAGGGTGAATCTTTGCAAACTACATTCTAATTTGATAAATAAAAATGTGTATTAAATTACCTGGGATATCTTTAATTATAGGGGTGAACATTTTTCATGTGTTGAGTTGCCATTTATAGAGCTCTGAGGGCTAGTTGGACCTGATGTTAATGTATAAAATTATACCTTACATTTTATAGTACCTTACTTTTATGAACACTAACATCTTTAATCCCATTTGATCCTCACACGAGTCCCACAGAAAGTTAAAGACCTTACTCAGTGAGTCTGTGGTGTTTTCTGACAAGTCAAACAGCCCATTAGTTCTGTGGCTAAGAGGTTTCCACCCAGACAGGTGTGGACTGCAATTCTATCTTTTATTACATCCCAGGCAAGTGATTCAACTTTGGGCAACTTCAGATTCCCTCACTTTCAGAGTTATTTGAAGTACATCCTAAGTGTCTGACAGATGGTAACGTTATTACTCATTAAATCTTGTCTTCATTGGACTCCATAATAATGTTGTGTCAGAATCCAGTTATTCCATAAATGTTTGCCAACCCCTGGCCCCTTTGACTTTCCAGCAGTGTATTAGACTGAACAGAGAAGGGGGGCTGGGTGGTTTGAATTTCATTGCTATGTGTGAAGCCAGGTCCTGTCAGAAATAAGACATGCACTGTGTTACCCTGGTGCAATGGTGACTGCCTGAAAAGGAAAAAGTCCTGACTTGTCACTTTTTTTTTTCTGGCTTACAGGTATAGCAGCATCTCATGAGATGCTGGCTTATAGGATAGGCTGCAAAGGCCAGACAAACCATGTGGTGCTACCCTGTATAAGAAGCAGAACACAGCAAAGGAGCTTAGTGCCAGCTCAGATGAAAGAGAGCGTGAACGAGGAAGGGAGGAAATATTATGGGTGGAGGTGGAGTGCGAGGAGAATTACTATGCCCATCTGTCCCACTCTGCAGAGCTATGTGTGTGTTTGTGTCTGAAATTTTATTTGCTTGTGTTTAGTATTCTGCTCTCTCTGTCTAATCCACTCATGGACATGGTCTAGTTTCTAAGAAACGCTCTGTTTCCTTCAAATGAAATTTAATAAGTGTCAGTGAGAATTTCTCAAACCTTTCATGAACTATTGACACAGCATTATTTTAGGAACTGAGCAAAGATCCAAGTGAAAGAAAGTCTGAGCATGAGTTTGGGAGTCCGAAACTCAGTGCTTCTCAGACTTGGACACATATATGAGTTGCTTGGAGAGATACAAATGCAATTCTCTAAATCTGCTAATGTAGGGTGGAGACTAGGATCCTGTACTTCCAACAAGCTACCTCGTACTCCTTGTATCACTGGTCCACGAGCTACCTTTGGAACAGCAGATGTTAGAGGAAGGGAAAGCTCAGGGTCTTCCTTTCTGGTCTCGTCTGCTTTTCACACAGAGGAGTTGTTTGATAGATTGGTTCAGTTCCAGGACATTAACTGATTCACATTTAACATCTGATGAACCTTCATTCAGCTTTTGCTTGTACTTCATGCCGCAGGAAAAAGTAAACTGAGTCAGCATCTCCCCTTGGATCTGCCCATGTTGTTTTCTCTTACTCAAATGTGTAGCCAAACAGACATTTTTTTTGGTACCAGGAACTCAGAACCCCATCCTTGCCAGGCCAGTGCTGTGCCACTGAGCTAAATCCCCAGCTCCCAAATGGACATTTTATTGCTTGTATTTCATAAGTAATGTGCCAAGGTTGAAGGTGAGATGATTTAAGTGTGTCACAGAGAAAAAAAGGACCCTGAAGGTCTTTGATGTAGGAAGCTTGCTATAAAAAAATAGCCCTGCACTAAGAAATTAGAAATTTATTTTGATGGACATAAAATAGTATTTTGATTTCTCATCATTAGTGGCCCTAACATGTGCCACTTGCTCGCTGTGATAGTTAATTGTGGTGCCAACTGGAATAAGAACTGCCCAGTAGATTGGTTAGCACAGTTTTGTATGTGCCTGGATATTGCCTTACTCAACAAAGAAAGACCCACCCTGGATGCAGGCAGCACCAATCAACAGGCTTGTAACCTGGATGGACTAAAAAGAGAAAGACAAGGAAATCTC